CTACAATGAATGAAGCAGGGATGACTTCACCAAAACCAGAGAAGAACCTGTTGGTAAGAGGAATTTCCTTTTTTGCGATTCCTCCCTTATATAGATCTCTCTTTCCCTCCAATTTTTTCAATATTCTCCAACTTCAGAAAATAGCCATTTCAAAGAAGAAGAATATAGAACAGCAAAAAGAATACGACTTATCCAGGCGAGCACAGATCGACCTAGAAAGGCTCATCTCGGAAATCAAAGCGCAAGAATCTGTAAGTTGGGTTATGTTCTACAATCACTGAATCTCTCTTCTTTTCGATTGTTATTGAAACATTCAGGTGGATCTTATTGGTGAGCACCCAGCTGCAGCAACCATCGATCTGCCAAGGGTAAGGGAACTGAGAAACCTTCTTATAAAGTCAGTTGAAAGTGAACTGAACATTGGTTTTAGGCTACCATAAGCGGAGCGCGAAAAAGCCGTCCAGGATACTCGAACGCAAAACTGATTTCGCTGAGCGGTACCGCTAGAGTTCACGATGGTAAGACTTTTATATATCCGAAATAATTTGTGAGTTATAGAAGTTGTTTTTTGAGAAACTTTCTGATGTTAACGATTTAATTCAAATTGTGGCTTACCTAGTAATTCCGAGAGTTTAACTATCGAAAATGACATTCACATATCCAGATCGAACCTAAACTACTTTCCCTAAACATACTCATGGCTTATCATTTGTGCACTAGCACAACCAAGTGTACACGCAAAACCGCTGGTGCTTGATAAAAATTCGCTCATTTCTGGGAAAGTTCTTACCTCAAAGAATCATTGTTGCCAAAAAAAAGTTCACAGTATAAAACATATCTTCTATACTTTTGTTTTTTTAAAATACTTTCACTGCTTTTTTACTTTTCCTTTTATTTGTTGAGTAAAACTCTGCAAAAGCACATAAATCCGCTTTTTCTCAGAAAAACGCAGGATAGCTCGCTCTCGTAGGTCTAATAAAGGTGTTATAGCCTTTGCATTACCTTTTGGATTCTAAGCAAACCGTAAAATAACATAAAGAATTCCGAACCATCGAAAAATTGAAAAACTTTTTAAACTCAAAAGCCTAAATATATCCTTATATCTTGTTAAACCGTTATATTTGACCATTCTACCACGGGCTATTTCTAATTTTGGTTGCAGCTGAGTATAGT